TAAGTAATATGTTATGAAGACCCCATTAGGTAATGAATTCGTGGAATTTTTGTCACATCTGGACATAATAGCAATTGAACAAATCTTCCATGAAGAAAATACAGGTCTCAGTGTGTAATATTGAATTATCACCTGGCAGAAAGTCAGGAGTAGATTAGGTTGGGTGATTTTATGAACTATTACTACGTAAAAATGTACGATTGGTAATATCAACTTAGGCGAGAGGGTTTGACAATATATAAAATCAACAAGAAAGAAATTGGACCAAACAGCAATCTAGATTCAACTTCTTGCATGATAACCACTCTAATACTATGTTGTTGATCATATTTTTGTAGATGAGAATATGTGATGGTGATTTGTTATCTAGAACTTTATCAATGGTCCCTATAAAGGTTAAGTTAGGTTAGGTTCAACAGATAGTACGGACAATAGTACAAAAATTAATGCAAATCCTTATGTTTCAGATAACTGAATGGGTACTTCACTGATAACGCTTCCTATACTTCCAGTGGCATGGACAGGATCAGCAATTATCTTCCTGATTCGACTCCCATTGATAATCGCTAGACTCATATTGAAAATCTTCACAAGCCCGTTAAAATTCACAATAAGCTTACCCTTTAAAATCATAAAATTTCCATTCAATATAGCGGATTCACTGATTGATTTATTATTTTTCATTGTGCGTCTGCCATTTACTTCTATATATACTATCCTAAAGCTACCTTTTTGGTTTGTAAAACAACTTTGAGTATAACATGTACACTTTGGAAGGTGCAATTAAAGTTATTATTGTTGAATGTGAATATTTCAAATAAATGAAATGTTTATTCAATAATACTTTATAGTGAACTTTGTTTATTCAATATTCAGCAGATTCAAGTAAGTATCCAATTAGTTTGGTAGAAAGCACATGAATTCAGTTTTTTTGCAATGAATAATATTGAATCCTCGTCCAGGATTATCCACTGATGAAGTGATGACGTATTATGATTTTTGTGGAACATATTGTATGGTCTTTGACATAACCCAGAAACCAACCAGAACATTGAGGCCATCCGTTAAAGCCTACATTCCTCAGTAATACTAAGCTAATGAAGAATGCATGCCTTACTTTATGAACGCATACTATGATTATTGACAGCTCTTTTCATTTCAATCCCCACAAATGTTACATACAATTATTCATTCATTTGTGGTTCGGCCTAGCACCACTGAGTCTAAACAGCGTTGTCTGTTGTTGGATCATCAAGTTGTGAGCTGTGGTTTCAGTTAGTTGACTTGCAGTGAAAGCTGCAATAAAAACAGAGGATAAACCTCGTTTGGTGCTCGCCTCGGACAGCACTTTATCTTCGACATTCGTGGACTAGAAAATTGGTTTTTCAACAATATAGTTTTGCATCAAATACGCTATATCTGAATGGTGTGAGAAAATAAATGTGATGTTTGTGAAATTATTTGAACAACCAACCAAGTTATGCGACTAGACGGTTGTGGATATAAAGTCAGTGGCGTAAAAAATAAGGGGGGAAATATAAGCTATTACCCCGCTGGAACGCCACTGGCTACTGATACTGAAGCAAACATACCACTGGAGGAAGTACATTCTAGCTCGTAATCGATTTGCTGAGTTTCATTAATTTATTCCTTTTAGTCCGGGAGCTACGACGAAAAGGGTCTTTTTATTCTTCAACTGTTATTTTTATTAGGTAATTTTCTTGTTTTTTACCATTTTGTCGTCAATCGAGGACCGCCTGCCCGGTACTGATGATACCCAATAGGCTGAAACAGCTGTCTACCAGAGGCTCTTGAATGTAAATCAATATGTGAATGATCCGAATGGTGCTTAAAATGGGCCAAATAGGTTTCCGTGGTCAGCAGTATGTTGTGACTTGACGCCGGGGCCTCAATCTGCCTACTCCCCAGGTCTCGTCGCGAGTTCTCTCTAAGGTCTCAATCTGCCTACTCCTTAGATTGAACTGAGGTGTCGATGGGTGGTATTTATATCGACGGAAGCTACTGAGCAGAAAGGTGGGTGCAGGGCTTCGGGTGATTACCATCACCGGACGTCTTGGTGGGGGGTGAGCATCAGGAAATTAGGGGTTTCCAGGCAGTTGGAAGTCTTTGACCGTTATCACGTTTGTGATGACGGTCAAAGGCAGACAGGTCGCTTTTCGATTTCGATAGCCTCGCGAATTATCCGAGCTTGTTTTCGTTGTGGCGATGGTCTTAGTGTTCGCAAAGTGTATGAAACAAACCCAATAAATTACGAATCGTATTTGATGCCTCTTCGAAAAGTAATGGTAATTCCTTAAACGACTTTCTGCTGACAGGACCGGATTTGTACAATTCACTTCAGACAATTCTTCTGAATTTTAGAATCAAAAGATATGCTTTTTTAGCAGACATCAAAGAAATGTTTTTGAGAGTGAATGTCCGGAAAGAAGACAGATCAGCACAGAGAATTTTATACAGAGGAATGCGAAGAGATGATGATCCATACTTGATGTATTCAAAGAGGAGTCTCCCGAGAATAATCAGATTTGAAGTAATTTCTTTCATTCGAATCAATTACTGCGGGAGAGAATGTTCAGTATTTATATTCATTATTATTTGTTTACTCTCTCATTTACCCTATATATAATTATATTTAGTTTGATATTGTTGTAACTAAAAAAAAGAGAATAAAAAAAACTTTTTTGACTGACATCGAATTTCAATATTTCGTTCTCCGAGACCGGATCCAACTTAGATATTTCAGGTAGAACAAATATTCATTGTCTAGAGAACATCAAATACATAGGTGCCAGCTATTGCTAATAAAAAGCTTGAGACTATATTGGGTGGTTGTGCGCTTTGTTCTGAAACTTCTCGTTGTATAGACTTCTTCATTCACGGATAAATGGATAGATAAAATAATAAAACTCTTATTTTCCAGATAACTGGATGACTTATCCACTGATCACTTTTCCATTCCTTCCGCTGATATGGCTGCCAGAAGCAATTGTGTTGATAATTCAACTTCCTCTAATATTTTCTATTTTCATAGTGAGGGTCATCATAGATATAATTAAATTACCAATAATCGAAGCCCGTGAGCTCACAGCGCTCCCATTCGATTTTTTGGTGGATCTAATTGTTATATTGTTTCACATAGTAATATTGCCGTTTACTATACCTCTAACTCTCACGAAGATACCTGATTATTTCTTAGAAAATATTTAAGTCGATCATGTACACCTCAAAGTTTTCAGCAGATAATTGTTATCATTGTTCAATGTGAATATTTATTTCGAATATATTGAATTTTAATTTATCTGCATTTTTTGATATACCATCGTGAATTTTGTTTGTTAAGAAATCAACAATCTTTCAATGCGTATTTTCTTTTCAAGCGGTTCCTTACATAAGGCCCTCCTAATGAGTCAAATATTGTTAAAGTGTCATAACAAGAAAGTTATAAGTTGTACGAATTCGTCTTTTTGAATATCACAAAACTGACTAATACGTCCCCATTTTCTAACAATAGATCTGAGACAAGCATCTTAATAGACATTGCTGAAAAGAGATACGACATCTACGCTAACAATTACATAGTTGTCGAGTAATTTCTAATCATTTATGTAATTGCTAGCTTAGATGTCACATCTCTTTTCAGCAATGTCTATTTAGATGCTTGTCTCAGATCTATTGATAGAAAATTGGGACTTATTAGTCAGTTATATGATATTCAAAAAAACGAATCATTTCAACTCATAACTTCCCTTTTAAATGACACATATTTCGCATTCAATGGTAAAATTTATGAAAAAACTTTTGATTCTCCAATGTGAGCAAAGATAAGTACCATTTCAGCAGCATATCTAATGGATACCTGCTAGACTTGGTCTTACAGGTTCTTCCTTTCAATCTTTTTTATAAGAAAATATATCGATGACATTATTATCTCCCTTTACCAAGATGGAATATGTGAAATTGTGGGCATCTTCAATAGTTACTTTATTTTATATTATTGTTGCAAAACCAAGCTACCAAGCTACCGCCGATGAGAATCGTCCTCTGTTTCTCAGTGCAGCTTTCACATCAAGACAACTAGTTGGAAACCAGAGCCCAAACAAAACACAATCAGATTCTACACTAGAGAATATTGTTTCTACTTTTTTTAGGACTCATCAGGGGTTCAGGACTGTACCACAAATACATTTCTGGACTCAACTCTCCTTGATGGACATGGAGGACAATGGAACCTCTCCTCACGAAGACGTCATCTATGGCATCGACAGGTATTTTAATTCTCGGATGTCAACGAGGCTCTCGAAGGAACTTATTCACTCGAGTTTGTTCTTCAAGCACAGTTGATTACAACTACGCATTTGTAGTTCAGCCTGGCATCACAGATGAGATCTATTGCGGTTCGAAATAGCGCTATCTGGTGTTGAATCATAAAAGCGTCGTGTTTGGGAGTTGATTATAAATATAAATCACGGTGTTTATGTGAACTATAAAAATTTCAATATATTCACCATCTGATTCTTCAAATCATTGTTTCACACAGATACTTTTTCATACCGTCATTTAATCGTCGATAGACTTACCAAAATTTTGACAAGTGAATTTTTCTTATTTATGCAGTCGATGAACAAAAACCGACCTCTTTGTGTGAAATCAAGTGGGGATACGGAAGGAAAAATTAAGAATGAAGAAATGAACTGATACTGATATGTTTCACATCAATTAGCAACGCAAATCAACCGTTCGATTGACAGGAAGGAGTATTTTTTGAAAAAGCTAACCTGTTTTCGTTTGCTTCATCGCATATCATAGGAGTATAATGTTGTTGATTATAATTCAAAAAATCCCCAACTGTATTCAAATCACCAAAAACTAATTTTCGGATAATAGGGCATATGGTAATTATTGAAAACTTATCAGTTGCAATTAGGAGAACTCAAGGAACTTTCTTATCACCAATTATTGCTAATAATACTAAGCCAAATGCAAAATAATATTTCATTTCACAGGCAAAATTTTTGGAATCAAGTGCTACCGCTGGTAAGAGAAATTGTCTTCATCAAGGTAATTTTTATCACCGATTGTGTGATTTGAATTGTAGTGGTAACTAATAATACTGTGATGATAATGCAGGAAATGACTTCATGTCATTGATTATATAGTAACATAAATCATAAATATCGCAATAGGAAATGATCTGATGAAAATCTTAGATATTCACTTCAGAAGAATTATTGAATTTGGATTTGGATTTTTTAGGATGGTGTAAGTTCGTCAGTTTTCAAACTGTAACTCAAATATCAAACAATGTTTCTTGTGGTGAATTGAATTTCTATATAGTCTGATGCTGACCGCCAATTTACACATGTTCTCTTTGAGGTGTCCGCCTGTATATTTCGTAGCACGAAAAATGTATAGATAATGTAGTTTAACAAAATATGAACGTGATAAGAATAAGTAGAACGCGTGACAAAATTAATGCACTCACACATTTCACTTTTATAGGAGTATAGGTAAAGTTGGGCGCCCACAAAGATGTTTAATCTATTTTTTTTTTCATAGAATTTTTTATAAATGTCTTTTGATGTTCACAAAAATAAGCAGTATATTTAAGGCAGTTCAAGTTAAAATGTACTGTGAAGTTTTCTGTGTCTATGTGTTGTTAGGGTCCAAATCGTATTGAACTTGTTTTCTAAATTTCTCTTAGTTTCGAGAATTAATTCCGGAGGCTGGGTTAAAATCCATACCTTCAACTTTTTTTGAATAGGAAACGACTATTGAGTGTTTTTATTTCATTTGGGATTTTTCTGTGAATTATCGGGCATAGATAAGAAAGGAATCTTTGGTTTTTTTTAGTTCTAACCTTTGGTATTCTGTTTGTTTGGTTTTTCAGTCGAGTATTGTATGGATGGTCTATTTGGGGCAGTTCATACTTGTGTTAGTGATGGTAAGATGCAAGATTAAGGAAACTTAATGGATATCAAATAGCTTAGATTGTTGGAAGAGTTTATCTGACGAAAATTTGTATCTTTTATTGTACATCATCTTTATCAGTCATTTTTGTGTCACTTCTAGGTTTTTAATATAATTATTAGTTATCCCACCCCAAAGAAGTACGCCATAGTTCATATGTGTTTGGACTAGGCTTGCATAAAGTATGTTCATTTGTGTCGAATCGAATAATTTTTGATACAGTTTGAATTTTGTTATCAATGATCTCAATTTTTTTGTTACGTATTCAGCGTGTTTGTGCCATCTAAGATTTTGAACTATAATGAGGCCAAATATTTCATATGGTCTCTTCTTTCGATGCCAATGATATTGACATTTATATTAACTGTGATTTTACTATATGTGGGTAAGATGTTGTTATAAGTTGAAGAGGCAATAAAGTGGGTCTTAGAAAAGTTCAATGTTAGTAGCTTACTGTCGAACCAATGTCCAATTCCCTTTCGGCGATAAATTTAAGATTGTTCCAATTCTCGCCACGAAATAGAAGGGCGGTGTCGTCGGCAAAGCTGATAATATTCGCTTCCACATCAATATTGTAGAGGTTATTGATATGAATATTGAATAGAATAGGTCCAAGCACCGTTCCTTGGGGCACTCCACACTCAATGACTTGATCTGAACTGAATGAACTATTGATTTTAACTCTCTGTTTTGTGTTCGATAAGTAACTAGTGAGAAGTTTCAATTGTTCACCTCTGAAACCAATATTTTCTAATACTCATAGTAATTCGTGGTGACACACTGTGTCGAATACCTTTGCCAAGTCAACGAAGACACATAATGAGGGTTTCTCCTATATCCATCGCCTCATAAATTTTTTTTGTCAAATGAACCATTGCATCTTGTGTTGACTTGGCGAAATCCATACTTATTATCCGAGGGTATATGATATTTTTTTGTATATTTCTCTATTCTTATTTTTTGAATTTTTTCAAAAACTTTTCCGACATGGCTTATAAATCGCAATTTCTTGGTCATTTGTAGTAATATTGTCATCCATTGTTTTTAATTGTTTGATATTGTTTTTTATTTTTTTGGTTCCGATAGTTTTCAAAGAGTTCCATAGTTTTTTGAATCGTTTTTATGTTTATCTATTTCAGTCTTATGAAATAATAGTTGAGCCCTATCCATCATTTCATTGAATCTATTTCAATATCTTTTGTATTCAATTTTTCAATTTTCATTTGTTGGGTTCATTAAGCACCTTCTTATGGAGTTTGTTTTTGGTGTCCATCGATTTGATTGTTCCTTCAGTGATCCAATCTTTTTGATTACTCTGTTTTATATTGATCTTATTCTTCTCAGTACATTTTTCAGTTATTTCTGAGAATTTATTTATGAATTTCTTTGTAGCTGTTTCAATATCCCTATCTGTGTGTACTATTTGCCAAGATTCTTTCTTTAGTTCATACAGCATCTTCTTCTTTTTAAAATAATATTTGTGCTGAACTGTTCTGTCTTCATTTTCAGGTTGAGAGTATTTTATGTATTCTAATTGGATTGCGATGGGAAAATAGTCTGAGATACATGTACCTATGTATGATGATTGGATGGATTGCCTCATGGCGCAGTTTTGTTTTCAAAAATGTATGGTCGATGCATGTCTTAGAATTATTTTGTATTCTGGTGTACTCGTTTACTGCTGACATATAGCCGTCTTCACTCATGATGTTTAGATATTCCGTAGCGTAGTCCATCTCGTCCAAAATATCTATATTGATATCGCCTATAATCTTTTTGTTGTTGGTTTTTATGGTAGAGGGAGAAGTTTAATGCATCATTGATGCATTAAACAAGCAAGTTGATGATTATCTATAAATTGTGATAATTTCGAACTTGTTTCCATTAATTTCCGTTTTTATGATAGTTGTTTTCAACGTTTCTTTCTGTTTTATTTCTGATGTGAATACGAGGGAATATTTTATGTAGACCAAACAACCATCATTTTGGTTTAGATCTTCGTTGTTATATACTAATTCATATCCAGATAGGTACAATTGAAATAAACTTCCAATTTTCCAGATTTCAGTTAAAGCTATTATATCAAAATCATTTGTGAAATTTTTCAGAGGAATTCTGAGCTCATCAAAATTCTTAGCCACACTGCATATATTTGTATGGAATACTTTAAAATCTTTGTTTGCATTCCTGTAACTATTTTCAACTAGAAATGAATTGCTATCTTTGTAACTTTCGGATATATTATTATCCAGCTTGTTGATAGTAAATTCATTGATATAGGGATTTATCTCAAAAGATTACAGTGTATGAGACTGAAATTGTTCAAAGTGTTATTTTCGTATATGTTTCTATCTGAATTAGAATTAGGTATATATTTGTGAGTATAGCAAATATATTTCTTGTTATATTGCTGTCGTGTAACAACACTGTTGTTGTAACTTGAGGCGGAAGCTGTCCTTTCTCTTGATATATACATTTTTTTCTTTTTTTCATTCCCTTTTTTTCCTTCTGTTTTATATCCTGTTACACAACTCTCGATTTGCCTTTCTTCTTTTTGATGTTCCTTTGTTGCATAGCCTTTGGCTTCTAACTGTTTTTCTTTTATATTTTGTGCTGTTTCTTCTTTTTTTTCTGTTTTGGTTTCTGTGATTTCTTTGGTGTCTGTATTACTTACGTGTGTTTTGTCTATCTCCTTTATCTGGTGGTGATTTTCATTTCAATAAAGGCAGTACATTCTCTCAGGAATGTTAGGAATGACAAAATGTTAGTGGTTGAGATTGGCCTATCCTAAAAAAAAATCGTCAGCCAGCAACGGAACTCATCAATTTCTTCAACAAAAAATTCGAACATCCTGATAGGTATACTCCTTCAAGAAAACAGAAGTACTGACTTTCGACACGCATTTCGCCAACCAACTCAGCATCATCCAAAGTTGACATTATTGAAATATTTCCTTCAGAAATCATATTTGTGAAAGATGATCCACTGAAGAGGATCGTTGGCTGAATGCTTTGCTGAGTAACAAGAAAACGTTCATCATGAAGACCAAACGTGAGGAATCAAGTAGAACCATCACGAATATCTTAGAAGAATACAAGTTATTCTCAAATGTTGGATTTGAAAATACTGATATTCAAAAAAGAAAACTGTATTCTTTACTCTTGATGGATTATATCAATTCATAAATTTGGCAGTTGAAATATGCAATACACTTGCCAACGACCAATAAAATTGATACCTGAAGAAATTACTTAGGAAACCTGTGAAACCTGTCTTGAAATAAATCCAAACAAGTGTTTTTTCATATGAAAGGTAAGTTTTATCAAACCATTTCATACCATTGAAGTAAAACTGCTAATTCACTGGAAAGTTCAATCGCAACAGTAGGTAATCAGTGCTTCAAAGAAGCACTTCTTCTTTTTTTTGAGTTGATACCAGTATTTACAAAATGAGTGGAACTGTTGTACTCAACTCACAATATGACATTGAATGTTTTTTTTGCTGAGTTATGGAAATAATGAGTTCTGTAGGTTTGCTGGTTTAATCTCATCACACCAATGGCTTCTCAATTCAAAAACTCTGAGGGATAGATCTATTGGTGACCGGGAAAGCTTTAAACTTACTTTTCTGTGATCCACTAACCAAAATACAATGTTTGGAAATTCCACTCGAGTTTTGTGGGCTACAATCAGATAAAGGTATAAACAGATATGTAATGATGAGCAAAGGAAAAAAAAGACTCCTTTAATGATAACTTCAAAGATATAATTCCCACGTCACATTTTTCCTCTGATATTTTATTTTTCCTCCAATTTTTTAAAGATGTTCCTTCAGGGTGCTGATTAGTATGCTAGATATAGGTCATCAAATCAATTTATCCAGAACCAGTGGATGTACCATCATTTATAAGGTTCGGAATCATTTCAGAAAATGGCTTGATAGGAGATATAAGGTAAATAAGTTTTATACAAGGACCGTCTGAAGGAATATAGAACTCTATAATGGAGTCCTCACCTGATGCCTTACCCAACGAGATCAAAATTACAATACGAACATTCTTGAAATGGAAGGTAGGCTACTGATATCTCAAAAGTACCTTCCGACAAAGGGAAACTCCGTATTCGGTTAAATGAAAAGAAATTGAACATACGGTCGATTTAAAATTTGAAAAAACAGTAGAAAAGCGGATGAAGTATCCTTTTCAGAATAGCTACATGATTCGAAGAAATGGTTGACAGCAGAAAGATGTCGATACACTAAAAATAAAATGTGCAATTGTAATTGTTCGGAAATGTCCTTATAGAACGAAACTGCAGTAACAAGATTAGTTGCAACTAAAAGTAGTAAAAAACAGAAATTTTTATTTCTCATTTTTCATGATGATCTCCTACCACGTAGTAACGGCTACATCCATCATGTATTACTGATAAGCTTCAAAACAGGTTGCTTCATCAACCCTAATTTCAAAACGATACGATTCCTCCACTATGAGGGAATATTCAATGAAGACAATAATGAAGTACAATTAATTTCAGTTCTGCTCATAGAATTCAAACATTCGAGTTTCATAAGTTTGAAATACTTTTCGACAATATAATATTTATGGCTTGAATAATATACTTTTGAGATTGTGGACAGTATAGTGGAACCATCCAAAATTTCGATAAATACATTTTTCACCTATACAAAAGAGGATGATCGTGAAGAGCTCGACAATTATAAACCAATGCAATAATCATTTTTCTTATATATTTTTCATAAAATTTGTGATGAACCTATTTTTTTTTTAAGCAAGAACCGCAACAACCTATGTTATTTTCCTCTGAAAGACAGACTTTCAGGATATTCAGAGAGACGGGTGATACTGCACTCAGCCCAATTCTGCTTTTGCAGAAAAACATCTACAATGGAAGCTCTTCTTGATATTTTGGAAGAAATTGTCAAGGGGTTAGAGAAACATCGTTGTCCATTATTGACTATGTGTTATCTTTTCTATGTGTTATCTATTCTATGGCACTGAAGACATGCCGTTAAAATAGTTTGTGTCTTACCCGGAAGATGGACAGCAGTTTGTCCAACTGAACAACCGAATTAGACTAAAATGTTTTCGACAACCAATGCGGTGTTGCCACTTCCATTAGAAAGTAGTAACAACTTTGATTTTTCAAAAGGTACACCCTATACATAATATTATTTTTGGAATCTATAACAATTATTCAAAAAGTCTTCCGGATATTTTTCAATACCTATGAATTGATTTCATTTTTTTTTCCGGAAATCATGCTAACATTTTCAAGTTGAGCAATACTATGGTATCAAAATTTATTTTCAAATTAGGTGATACTTGGAGGCTTTCCAGACTTCAGTGTAATCTCCGTCACCTCAATACAGGGTGGTGAAAAAATACAGTGTTTCCATTCGTATGAAAAAGTGACTGTAAGTAGACTATTTCAAATGGAATACCTTGTGTATCATTACAAATTCAGAAAGCTGTTAAATTCGCTTTCTTCCTATTCATTTTGCGTATACCTAACTAGTCAAGTTTCGGACTTACGAGCATTTATTTGTGATATTTTCATTCGGTATTTTGTAAGCAGGCCATGGTTACTATTTGAAAGAAACGTTGTGACATGATATTTACCATAAAACAAAACTATTCGAAGGAAGTTCTTATAAATTTATTCATTATTTTTTACAATGTGTTAAAATCATCAGCAGAACATGTAGAAAGTCTAGCGAAAGGTATCCGAATCTACAGCTTACAAACCTCAAGTTCTGAACTTGCATAGATTTTGTTGAATGTGGCAACTCCTGCCAATATTCTGTATATGATCCACAGTTTTGACAGCAGTGAATGTCAATCAAGATGTTTGAAGAATATGTCAGCAATTTTGTATCTTTATTCCTTTTATTCGTTTGCTGTTAGTTCATTTTGAAGCCGTTAACTTCCTCGAGTACGTAGTTTTTTTTCCACATAATCTTCCCTGCAACTCAACGTCATCTGTTACACATTTCTTGATACTATATTACTTTTCATATGTTAACCTGTTTTTGTGTTTCATTATCGATTGAAATAAAGAATTGTATTGGTATTCTCTGGCTATTATTTTTATTTGTTGTGATTTCCTTCTAATTCCGGTACAATAGTACTCTTTGACGGTAAGATAGCAGCATTTTCAGAGGATATGATTTCCAAAGAGAATATTTGAAATTAATTCATATTTTGAAAACGATAACAAATAGGTAAGGAGAAAGATCAAGAAAAGTTGTCACGTAATTGTTTAACATTCCAAAATTGATATCATATACAGGGTGTTTTATTTGAAAAATCAAAGTTGTTACTAGTTTCTAATGGAAGTGGCAACACCGCAATGTCGAAAACATTTTTGTTGGGTAGATAACGTCCGAATATCTCTCCATTCAATTTCAAAAGTGATTCGTTGTCTGGTTCATCAGAAACGTCTAATGTGACATCCACCGTGAATCAGCATGTATATATACTACTGGTGCAGCGTTAAATGCTTTTATATTATTGAAAAACTCAAACAAAAATTTTACTTCAATACATATTTCCCTACTTACCTATGTGATTGTTTTATGATTTCAAATTTCATGTTGAATTATAATAATATATTTTTGTAAATAATGTTATTGTATATTGATATGATATGATACTCTGATTTATTACTAACTTGCTATAAACTATATCATGTATGAGTTACGTAGTCAAATAAAATATGCATCTATCTAAATATAGCGGTTTCTGTTCGAACAGTGAAACCTACAACATACCACTATACTTCAGGATTTTCAGTGATCCGTGAATTTTTTCTGATTCTTCATTAAAATGAGCATACTCAATGGCAGTTTTATTCAAAAGCATAGAAGTTAACCACTGCAAGTATGGCGGAATTTGATATGTTTTACCGCTTGACCAACAACTGCTATGAATTTCGAACCTTTTGAGTAGCTGTACCTTTTGTTATGAAGACCCCATTAGGTAATGAATTCGTGGAATTTTTGTCACATCTGGACATAATAGCAATTGAACAAATCTTCCATGAAGAAAATACAGGGCTCAGTGTGTAACATTGAATTATCACCTGGCAGAAAGTCAGGAGTAGATTAGGTTGGGTGATTCTATGAACTATGACTACGTAAAAATGTAAGATTGGTAATATCAACTCAGGCGAGAGGGTTTGACAATATATAAAATCAACAAGAAAGAAATTGGACCAAACAGCAATCTAGATTCAACTTCTTGCATGATAACCACTCTAATACTATGTTGTTGATCATATTTTTGTAGATGAGAATATGTGATGGTGATTTGTTATCTAGAACTTTATCAATGGTCCCTATAAAGGTTAAGTTAGGTTAGGTTCAACAGATAGTACGGACAATAGTACAAAAATTAATGCAAATCCTTATGTTTCAGATAACTGAATGGGTACTTCACTGATAACGCTTCCTATACTTCCAGTGGCATGGACAGGATCAGCAATTATCTTCCTGATTCGACTCCCATTGATAATCGCTAGACTCATATTGAAAATCTTCACAAGCCCGTTAAAATTCACAATAAGCTTACCCTTTAAAATCATAAAACTTCCATTCAATATAGCGGATTCACTGATTGATTTATTATTTTTCATTGTGCGTCTGCCATTTACTTCTATATATACTATCCTAAAGCTACCTTTTTGGTTTGTAAAACAACTTTGAGTATAACATGTACACTTTGGAAGGTGCAGTTAAAGTTATTATTGTTGAATGTGAATATTTCAAATAAATGAAATGTTTGTTCAATAATACTTCATAGTGAACTTTGTTTATTCAATATTCAGCAGATTCAAGTAAGTATCCAATTAGTTTATATTGATATACAATGCGTCCATAAGGTAGAAAGCACATGAATTCAGTTTTTTTGCAATGAATAATATTGAATCCTCGTCCCGGATTATCCACTGATGAAGTGATGACGTATTATGATTTTTGTGGAACATATTGTATGGTCTTTGACAAAACCCAGAAACCAACCAGAACATTGAGGTCATCCGTTAAAGCCTACATTCCTCAGTAATACTAAGCTAATGAAGAATGTATGCCTTACTTTATGAACGCATACTATGATTATTGACAGCTCTTTTCATTTCAATCCCCACAAATGTTACAGATGTCTTCCAGATGAGTAGGAAAAAAATATAGATTTCAGAACTTATTTCACACCTTTTGTTATTTTTGATTTTCATATTTTTAATCACGATATGAAACAAAAACTTTTCGAAAACATGTTTGTCTGAAATGATCAGTTTCATTCGCCATGTGAAAATCTCATCTTTCAATAAATGAGTTACTTATTATTATACGAAATAACCAACATAGTAGTACTTATGTCAACTAATATGTTAACAGTGTGAACTGAATATAAATTACGTTGTTGGCAAAGGGTGCCCATTCACCAAGAAAACGAGTATTGAATGTTTCAATAACGAAAGGTTTGCAAAACAATGAATTTCATGTTCATCAATTTCAGAGATGCCAAAAGTCAAATGTCACTGAACATGATTTGGATAACGGCTATGGAATTAACACCGTCTAAAATTATGAATACACTAATTCAATAATTTCACTATCAATAATAATCAGTATATAATTATCACACTATAATTTCCATTCAAGACGTGTTAAACTAGACCGTAGCTTCATCAGTTGGACTGGTACACGTACTAGTTCAACTGATGGAGCTACTGGGTGATGTGAGGCGTCATCAATGAAAATTATAGTGCAAAAATTGTATAATTATTATTATGAATACTGTCTGAAATTGTTGACGTTGGTACATGTCACTGGATTTTTGATGCTGTCTGAAGAAAGCTTGTTAGCTTATTGATGCGTATCTGAAAGTACAACTCTATCCTCTCAGATATAGAAATTTATTCAGATAGACTAGATTTAGAATAGAGAATTGTTCCATTTGATCCCCAGAAAATGCCAACTTGGTGGAGAAATGCTCGTTGAGGAAAGTGTTGCATTTTGAATTCAATTTTTCCTCCTTACATTTTTTTGCTTTTTTCTGAGCACTGATTGCAGGTCATTCATTTTTATAGTCATCTATCAAGAGTTATTCCCTTCATTGTGATATATGGGGTGCCTTGAAGACAGCTCACTTCTATATATTTCGATGATACTCAGATTTTTTTCCATCCACCCTATAACAATATAACTACCAACTACTAGGAACGCATCAATGTTCGCTTTCAGATCCAAGTCTAAAAACATCTCCTATAACATATGGAATATGAATGGACAATATTTTCATTGAATTGACGCTGAAATATCGACAATTGATGGAACGCGACAATGTTGCACTGCTAAAGGTTCAAGAGCTATTGCAGAATAGTCCTCGTCAGAATGATTATAGAGGGAAAACTTAAGCAATTAGATTTCATACTGAAATGTACCGTGTGACAAAATCATTGTACAACGCGCCATTCAGATATTTGTAAGGAAATACATTTGAAATTCGAAATAAATATGTACAACGTTAACCGGAAACAAACGTAACTCAAGAATTGGTCATTTGATCGAATATAAAATTCTTTTTCCAACGACATAACACAAGTAGCAATTTCTATTCAAAATGGCGGGAACGGAGGCATTTTCTTCAAATCCAATATGGTGACAGTATGACGTCATCCATAGGAATATTTCCAAACAACTCGATGTCGGGACAAACAAACATGTTTTCGTATGGAACCTGAAAAATTAAAAAAAAAATAATGTGATAAAATCAATTCATGAATTTTTAATCAAAATCAGAGCAAACTTTGTCGTTTGTTTCTCCCTACCTCGAGTTGTTGACAATATTACTTAGGTCACATTCAGAGTATGCATCCATTGTGTGGTGTTTCTCTTACTTACTGTACGAAAAGTCACTGAAAATAGTTCAAAATAAATTTTTGCGTAGTGCTGCCTACAAAACGGGCGTTCAAATGGACCAGCGACATAACTTCACCGATATTCTTCCTACAATACATCTAACAACATTGAAAAACCGACGAATTCAGGCTGACTCAATATTTCTATTTAAATTATTGTCAGGCCGAATCAATTGCCCAGAACGCCTCTCTCTTTGGTTGGCCTGAGAGTCAAGCAAAGAGAAATGAGATATCTGCAGTCAAATATTTTTCAGTCTATTGATGCTTCTTTCGAAGTATGCCTTGTATGTGTGTTGGTTTTCAGTGATGGTGTTAGTTATAATTGTTTCATTTAACATTTAGTTTTGAGATTGCTTTTTATCTTATATTTTTCAATATTCGTTCTAATTTTGTTACTGTTTTTGAATTGGAATATGTTTTTATGCATGTATATTTCACAATGTTATAACTTTGGGTCTTCTCGGAAACTAGTCTCTTTTCGTATCGGAAACTGTAAATTCTCGATAACAAATCCTCGATGGAGAATATGTCGATTTTGACAGACGTTAAAAGAATTCGATAGTTCAAATGAGTGCACAAACCGAATGTTATATCCGAGAACTCGGTTCAGGTTCCAAATTTCGTATTCAATCTTCTCCTTGGCTAGTTTGAAAGCGGAAACTATTTTTCGAAACATCAATTGTTTTCAAAAAAACCTAGTATAAAAATCAATTATTTCCACAAATCCTTTTCAATGAGCAAAATTCATTACATTGATTCGTATTATTATAGTAGAAATGAATCTACCATTTATCAGACACCATGCCTATTCATAAAGAAGTCACATGCTCAAACAATATTAGTTGAATAATGAAAATCTATATAAAAACTCATTATTACCGTTTAATGTATGATTTTCACTATAAATGTTTTCACAATAACAGGTTTTTGTAAAACCCTTTGTAGTAAAAATCACACAATAAACATAAACTGTAATAATGGGTTTTTTCAAACAATATTATTATCAGTTGTTACAACTGAGTAACAATTTATCATCAAATATGCGACTTTTTCTGTGGAGTCAGTAGCCAAAATAACCAATACCTCACAACTTTGAAGCAATCTTCGAGGCCAATCACAAATGAGCACATTCAGTACTTTATAGCTGTGGTATAGATGAGGATAACATTGTACGTATTTTTGGTTTAATCTTCCTTTTGAATATGACCACCTGGTGCTTGAAACAGGTGTTGAGGTGTTAAAATAACAGTTTGGTGTTGGGATGAAACTCCGGTAATGGTTCCAAACAAACAAGTATTCAGGATTGTTTTAAATAACAAAAAAGTGTTTTGAATGCATTTTAATTTGCCTCTTTGTTATGAAATTTAATGATATTATCCTCAGTTGTGATGTCCTTCACATATTTATTCGTTTAAGAACATTTTGATGAATTTACAAATCGTTCAGGCCAGTCTCAACTCTATACACAGTAGGTGAATGGACTGACACCCATCAGAAAAAAACTACTCCCCTGGCTAATACCACGAAGGGCGTTGGATTATATCCGACAGGTGTCAGTGCAGGATTCTTCACAGAAGTTATTCCTGCATATGCTGTTGGCGATACAACTGCCGCAATAGATTTTCAATTATTGGAACACACTTGCAGACCGGTTTCGGGCTGGTTGGCCACTCGTCAGTGCAAGATAGTGTATATCATCAACGTAGTAAAGTCGATGATTTCCGATAATTGAAAATCGAATTCTGTCAGAGTATCATTCCTCGAACTAAGCTGAAGCATACAACAAACAACAGGTTTGTCGTCGCCCCACCTGCCTGTGAACGAGGTAACCAACTGCATATCCAATGTTAATGGAGTGACACCCATCAGAAAACAACTACTCCTCTGGCTAATACCACGAAGGGCATTAACCTACTGTGTAGGGAGTTGAGACAGGCCTGAACGAATTGTTCTTAGATAATTTGATTTATAGCCAGTCTTCAAGTATGCCCACTGACTATATGTAAAAGAATCTACAAATTTCATTCTGACGAGTAATGGTAGCATTTCTCACGCCCATTCAATTATATAGTATTTTTGCTGAATCACTGAATACAGTACCAGTATGATCACTTAGATTCGTCTTCCAAAAGCACGCAACAATGTTGAGCAATGCGTTTAACATAAATACCTATCAGCGTCCAGAACTCTCGAACAACGTATAATTTGTGTATTCAACATGTATCTAATGGAGTGTCCATGATACAGTCTCATTAACACCAAACCAAAGGTTTCGTATCTAAATTTAATAAATCCCACATTATCGAGATTCAACTAATGGAAATACGACACGCAAACTTGAATTTATTGCCGTAGATTCGATATAACAGGCGGAAAATCATTCAAGTCCATCACAATATAATTTTTTCCCATTTCCAGAATGGAAATGAATTGAGGAAATGATTTGAATGAGCTACTTGAAAGAAGAAAGTTTGGATGTATTGAAAGCACAATCTGTAATATAAGTAGTGCGGACGTTAAAAGTCCCCTTCTTTTAACTTTTGAACGGAACGAGATATCAACTTTGGACAACATTTAAGTAGAATAGCATCAGTTTCAGTACTTTTGATATGGAAGACAATGGTGTTACTTGTAGCCAATAATTCACAGATTTTCAAGTATCTGCACGCAAACAATAACGAAAAAATGTATTCAAAACTTACTTCAGTTCACAAGGAAATAATAAAAAATTATTATTATTATTATCATTATCACAATAAATGTTCAAAATGTTTATTACAAAACTCAATTACTGTCAGGTAGTGCCTGAAAATGAGTTCGTTCACAAATCCAAAAATAATGTGAAATATTATAGGTTAATTTACTTAGGGACA